GATGGACTTCCAGAGAGAAGGAGCATCCGGGTATGCGAATGCTTTCAAGGGCGGTAAGGGCGGAAAGGGCGACAGAGACAAGGGCAACAAAGGCTCCAAGGGCAACAAGGGCAACAAAGGCGAGAAAGGAGAAAAGGGACTGAAGGGCGGCAAAGCGAAAGGAAAGGACAGGAAAGGTGAGCGAAGCGGAAAAGGGGACAAAGCTCGAAACAAGAGCAGAGAGGCGAAGAAGACGGATGTCTGCCGGAACTGCGGGAAGACTGGACACTGGGCACGCGACTGCTGGGCACCTCCGAAGGACAAAGCCGCAGCGGCGACGAGCCAGGCCGTTACGACGCAGCCAGAGGCACCATCATCTTCATCGTCTACTTCGGCGAAAGCAGCAGCGCAGCCCACAACCAAGGGTAGTGGAAAAGCACAGTCATCAATCAGGACGTTTCTGGAGGGATATCACTTTGGTATGATGCTCACGAACCAAGTGGTTAGTTTTCCTTCAGATGATCGCATTTACTGGCTGATTGACTCTGGTAGCTCGTTCCACATCATCACGAGAGAGACGCTTGAGAGCGACCACGTGAAAATCCTGAGTTGGTTGGAAGGACGCCCGAAGTCATATGCGGAGACTGCGACTGGAGATTCCGTTGAAATTGGCGGATCAACACATGTTTTAGTGGAAGTTTGCTTTGAAACCACCACCCCAGCATCATCGAAGAGCAGTTCTGAGCATGAGGGTGACGCTGTGTACATGTGTAGGGCTAGGTTTGAAGCCGTCATTTCCGATCAGATCAAGCACAATTTGCTGAACATCAACTTGCTTTGTCAGAATGGAGGTTGGGAGCCAGCGATGTGCGACCAGCAGGGCGTAATTACCGTCCGAAAGCACGGCGTAACGCTGAGACCAACCATGTTTGCTTCAGTTAGTTGGCTTGCGTCAGTTCGGAATGACCATCCTTTAGCGCTGAAACCGCAGGATTTGATCGCCAAAACGGAACAGTTTCGTCGAAGTCGGTCTCGCAAGTCGTCTTCGAGTCGTGATTTTCATCGTTCGACTTCGAATCGAGGACATCGCAGCTCTGCGAGAGTGTGTGTTGAGCCCGAAAACCCCGAATTGCTGGATGTTTCATGTCTTGATGAGGTAGTTGATTGCGAGTTTCAGACGAGCCACGAGCATGTTGACCTGGACCAAGGCGAAGCTAAGGACAGACTAAGGACAGTCGGTGACGTTTCCGGCTCTGCGAGGGATCAACTTCAATTTTTCAGTCATGTGGATACGCCAGTTGTTCGTGAGCTTGATAGGGATGAGCGCTTGTTTTTTAGTGAAGACAACAGCGTTATCTCACACAAGCAACAGGACAACAGCACCACACCAGCAGTCGAGCGGCTTGTATTTGAAAATGACAGCAGCGTTATCTCACACAAGCAACAGGACAACAGCACCACACCAGCAGTCGAGCGGCTTGTATTTGAAAATGACAGCAGCGTTATCTCACACAAGCAACAGGACAACAGCACCACACCAGCAGTTGAGCGTCTTGTGCATGAGCATGGTAGGGAAACAGTTGTCTGTCGTGCTTGCTTGGAGGATTTCCCTGATGAGGTTGAGACTGGCAGCTTGGATTGCTCAAAGAGGCGAAGTTTTCCTAGAGCAGGACAGATAGGAGACCGCCGCTATGGATCCGAGTGCCACGATGCAACGGAGCATTCAACAATTGGAAGGCATGCGCCAGGGGGCGAGACGCAGGAGACTGATATTGTTGGAAGCCCACGCCGCGCAGCACGGCATAGAGCTGCCACAGACGCTCCGAGAGGAGCTCCAGGCGTCGTATGCCGAGGCGGAGTCCACTGGAGGGGACGAGATGGATCTGGACCTGGATTCGGCAAGGCTGGACCCTTCGACCTCATCTCCTTCGGTAGAGTACGTCATGGAAGAGACGGAAGCGGCGGAAGCACCGTCGTCCCACACCGGGGTGAGGGAATTCCAAGCGGATCCTTCGATGTCAGAGGCTCCAGCCAAGAGACCCGCTATGGTGCAGATGAAGCCGACGCCGAAGATCAAATCCAAGGAGAAAACCATGGCCGTGAGACCGGTGCGGAACTTGCTGCCGGACCATGTGGATCAATCGACCATGGGAGTCGATCCTCGGGAGCCCTCCGGCCCCCCGCCGGCATCGTCAGCGCCAGCACGGAGAGGAAAACGGCGCTGGGCGTCGGCAGGCTGGACGACGTGGGTTGCTCGTCGGTTCGGAGGAGCTTGGACGGCACAAGCTTCGGGAGCCAGCGACTCACCGGATACGCCGGTGACGCTGTTTTGTCTCCTGTGCCAGAAATATGTCACCGAAGCCCATTTGATGAGCGAACCACACGAAGCCAACATGCAGGGCTTCACGCAGACCATCTCCAAGGAGGGCCTCCACGTGACGCAGAACCCGGTGGATTGGACCACATGGGAGCAAGCTCTTGCCGAGCCAGAGCAGCTGGTACTTGGAGTAACGGAGGGCAAGGCTCGGTCAGTGGTTACGCTGGGACCGACCGGCATTTCGGGCGAGTTTCCTCAGCCGAACCCGAAGGAAACAACCGCGGCAGCACCGGCGAGCTCAGGGCCAGGACCATCGACAATGGTGGTGGAGGTAGACGAATCCGACGAGGATTGGGGAGAATGGAGGCCAACCACAGGGGTTCCAGCTTCAACGACCCCAGCACATCCGAAGCATCCCCCTATCTCCATGATGCAGCCGCCCGGTCGGCCCGACAGCAGTGTACACGGAGCACCGCCGGGGCCCCGAGCCCAGGCATGCAAAGAGCGCTCTCCGAGTGACACCTCCCTGGCGGGAATCACTTTCCAACCTGGGCTTTCATGGTCCGTATCTGCAGCTGCATCTGAGCACACCAGGCCACACCTCAGAAGGGCTACAAGCCCCTGCGGATGCAGGCGAAGGACCATGCCCAACTGCCGGTCAGCTTGACACCTTCGAAAGCCGCCAGCGACCTGTCCGGCAATGTGATGAGGGTGGCAGAGACAATGGAAACAGGAGCATCGGGAACAGTGGCACCGGCAGAAAGGCCATTCAGCCCAATGAGCCTTCGCATGGAGCTCGAGACAGGGATCCTCACGGGCCAAGCATACGAAGACCGGCGCCGAGCAAGATCGGAGAACATACAGGCTGCGAGGGCGGTCGCCAAGCCAAGGTTGGCGCTCCCGATCCCTCCGCCACCTCCGGTTCCGCGACCCGAGCGCACTCCCGAGACACCAATTCCGTGGAGTGGCGCGCCCTCTCCTGCATTCATGGAACTCATCAGGCGCCGCCGAGATCGCCAAGAGCGCGATCGTTCTCGCTCCCCGTCTCCCTGAAAGGGAGTACTGAGAAGCCCAACCCAATCCTTGCAGCTTTGTCCCAAGATGAAAGAAAAGAGCCCGATACGCGACAGCCACAACAACAGTTTGAGTTAGTCACTGAAGAAGGAATTATTGGGGACAATGTGCGTAGTAAACACGCTGAGCTGCAGCACCACATGCAGGGACACGTACCATACATGTCTGACTGTGAGTTTTGCCAGCGGACTAGAGGGACCACTCCAGCACGAAAGCGTAGCGACCTGAACCCGAGAGAGTTTCAGCTTGACCAGTGCTTCTTTCGCAAGCTTGCATTCATCGTACTGGTTCATACCATGAGCTTTGCAATTGCAGTTTGCTTTAGACCTGAGGGAGAGAGCGCAGCAACAACAGCAGAACATTTGCATCCCTGGGTCAGGCACTTTGGTGTGAAACAACCGCATTTCATGTCTGATGCAGAGGGACTCACGAAGAACATCGCAGCGAGACTCGCTGATCTTTGTGAGGGTACTGAGGACAGCTTTGCACCCGAAAGGCATGCACCAGCAGCAGAACGAGCCATTAGGACCCTAAAAGGAATCGTAGCAACACATGAGCTTGAGTTGCGGGAACATGGCGTTGTTTTGGATGCTGAGTGTGCGGATGTTTTCGACCTTTTGTTTCAATACGCAGCACACACGCACAACAGGTTTTCAGTTTCTGTAGGGTCGACCATGACACCCATGCAGAAGATCCGCGGAGATCGCCTGCGACCGCAAGTCACGTATCCGTTCGGTGCGGTAGCATACGCTAAGATAACGCGGGCTAGAAGACCTGACGCGGATGCCAAGTATGCTCGAGGGATCTACTTGGGACCAGTGCTTGGGAGCACAGGTCATGCCATGGAAATCCGCTTGGATAGTGGGGAGACGAAACGGGTGATCGCGCCCGGACTCAAATTGCTCTACCCGTTGCGTTTCGACGCAAATCTTCTGTCCGGTGCAAAGGCCCTAGATGGCTTCGTGCCCCCGCCTGAAGCACCGAAGACCAAAGAGCTGTTTCTCCCATATGTTCCAGGTGGAGGTCCTCCCATAGACTGGGTGAGACAACATGGTGTTACACCCAAGTGCCCCGGATGCCAGGAAGGCGTCAGCTCGAGCAGGCATTCCCAAAAGTGTGTGAAGAGATACCAAGCTTGCTGTCAACTTGTTGATAGCGCCTTCGTGAGGAGCGAACGCTTAGGTTGCCTGCAACCGTGCCTTTAAGAAAAACAAAAAGAGTTTTCACAGTGCTTTCAAAATTTTCTGCATGCCCATCTTTCATGTTCTCTCTGCATGTCACCTTGACAGCTTGTATGCAGTCTTCATGCCCGGTAACAGTGGCTGACAGCAAAGGGGGGAGTTTAGGGAATGCTTCTGTTGGGGGGAGTTTAGGGACTGCTTCTGTTCTTTCCGACAATGTCTCAGTGTCCGATGGCGACTTCAACGTCGCCGAAGATGCAGGTGTTGGCCCACTGGGGGCTTGCTCTCCTGACCCTGAAGATGACACCCGTCATCCTGATTCTGAGGGTTGTGCAGGTTTACCTCTCGAGTCCCGCGTTGACACCAGCTTCATTGATCAGATTGTTTGCCAACAGGTTGTTGCATCCCGAAATTTGACGCAAATCCGTCTGCCGTGGGAGCAAGGTCCTATGAAGTGCATTTTCAGTGATGATGCCGACTTTGCTGTGCAATCCCCATCCTTGGAGCCCTTGTTACCGCCAGAGGTGAGCACGCCTGATCGGCTGGTCGAGTGCTTGGAGCATGTGACCGACTTGAAGTCATTCTTTCAAACCACGATTTCTAATGTTGCTGACTGCGATATTAATGAGACCCTTGGAAGTTTGCTTCACATTGCAATCAATAAGTTGTGTGTCGTCGTGGAACGGTGCACAGGACAGCCGCCCGACCCTGAGGACATTGAGGCCAGGACGGGGCTCCGCAGCCCCTACACGTTGATCAAGAGGGCCAATTCCCTCCTCGCCTATCTTCGTTGGGTCGATGGTCAGCCCCTTGCAAATCTGTCCTTCTCGGGTGTGTTCCAAGAGACTCTTGTTTGGGAACATTTTCAGTACTTGAAGAAAGAAAACAAGCCTCCGACCAGCGGTTCGACGTTGCTTTCTGCCATGCGGTTCTTGCACTACGTCCTTGAGGTGGATGTGCAGGTATGCATTTCTAGCCGGCGCATCGTCGGTGCCAGTCAGCAGTTGGCTGCTAAGACCCGTTGGCTCAAGCAGGCTCGTGCATAAACAGTTGATCAGGTTCGCAAATTGCATGAACTTCTCGAAGGCAGTGACGACCCCTTGTTGCGTTGCTTCGCTGCATATGCCTTGATCGCCGTCTATGGACGATGTCGGCACTCTGACCTGCAGTGCATCTGGGACCTGGAGTGCGATTTCGATGGTGTTTCGGGCTTTCTGCAGATTCGAACAGGTCGTCACAAGACCTCGACCACCGCCAAGAAGAAAGCGCAGTTTTTGCATATCTTGGTCCCTGCACAGGGAGTGGTCTCTCGTCCCTGGCTGCCTCTTGCAATCCAGGCGTTTGAAGCTGTTAACCTGTGTTTAATTGGCAAGATTGACGGGCCCATTTTCCGCCCACCCCTTGATGCTGAGTGCTCTGCCCTCTGTGCTCGCCCCGTGTCCTCGCAAGAAGTGTCCAGGATGCTTCGTCAAGCCCTCGATTTGCCTGAGGACTCCGGCGTGTCCTCCCATTCCCTCAAGGTCACTGGCCTGTCCTGGGCATCCAAGGCTGGCGCGCGCGCTGGCATGGACCGTGATACTTGTGCTGTCTTGGGTCGGCATGCTCGCAATCAACTCACGACTGAGGTTGTGTACAGCCGTGACCTCAGCGCGGCCCCGTCGTTGGCCTTTTCTCGCTTGTTGCATCAGGTGGCTCTTGGGGTGTTCATGCCAGATGCTCCTTTGCGCGCTTTCTGGAGCGAGTCCTGTGAAGCCTCTCCTGGCCTAGCACCAATTTTGCCTGTGGTGCGACCCTCCGGAGCCATCAAAGTTGAAGATTCCGCCTCCGAAGCCGCGGAGTCTGCGCATGAGAGCAGCGAGGATTCCTCCGCTTCTGAGGCCTCCCGAAGCAGCAGCTCGGACAGTGGGACCCCTTCCTCAAGCCCTCCCCTCAGCAAAAAGGCCCGCCGCTTTCTGCCTGAGACACGGGATGAGTCCGACGTCTGGGTGATCCACCGTCGTTCCCGCAAGTTGCACTTGGTCCGCGGCCAAAGAAATCTTGATGCGTGCCTTCAAGTTCTTGCATGCGGACGTGTGCGCTCCGATGCGTACAGAGTTGCCGAGGATGCTGACCTGGATGCGGTCGAGTGTCAAGGTTGCCGGCGATGCATTTGACGGTTGTGGAAAAGTCGGGTCCCTCTGCTTGCGAAGGTAAGTAGTCGACCTAGGGTCTGCAATGAAGTGTTGCGCCCTCACAACTGTCATGCTGCTGTCTGCCTTTTTCGGTCGAGTGCACGGACAAGGGGGGGGGGGGTTGAGCATGAGTGAACGTGAGTCATGTCGGCTGCTTGTTCTCTCTCGCCCCCCCATCAAGTCGAGGTTGGTGACGACATGACCAATGCTTTCATGCCATGATTTGTTGTGTTGATTCCTGATTGACATCTTGATGTTCAGTTACACTCAGTCATGTGAAGTTGTTCGGGTGCATTCTGTCATGTGAAGTAGGTGCCCCTAAGTAGCCTCTCGAGTGCGCTGCGTGAGAGCCCCATGTCTGTGCTGGAGTCTGCCGCTCACTTTCAGGCGAGATGCAAGCTGTTCCGCATCGGCGAGCCCCTCATACGTACCTTGACGCGTCTGGGTTTTGAGACTCTTGGGCAGCTCGCTTATTGCGTGGGCCAACCAGGTCAACAGCTAGCCGATGATCAGTGGCATACTTGGGTCCAAACCTCCATCCCCGCCGCATCAGCCGGGGAAGCTGCGAGTGTACGCCGACTCGTCTTCGAGGCGCAAACACTTACCTTGGCAGATCTCAAGGACCAGGTTACCAACCCCAGTGCCTCTGCCGCCCGACCCCTTGCAGAAGCAGAGCGCGACAAACGCATGGCTGCTTTAAAGGCCAAGGTTTCCGGTGTGATCATAGAAGGTGATGCGGAGCCCAGCCGGGCCCTGTTGGAATTGGCCTGCACCATGAGTTCGCTGGATGAGATAAGGTATATCGCCCCTGAGAAATGCACCTCCCGCTTGAGCGAGGTAGCCCTTGCCAAGCCCCTCGCCCGTGTCGTCGAGCTGGAGCAGCAGCGGCTTGTTCTCAAGGACCAGGAGCTCCCGTGTGACGCCCAAGTTCACAACCCCTTGCTCCTCTCTGCAGCATTCCGTCGTCGAGGACTGGCGCTGGCATTTGCAGACGTGGTTGATTTTCTTGCACATGAAAAATACGTCAATGAGCTGATGCGACACCTGACAAACCCCGACGCCCTGCCAGGGGGTGCTTGCCAGCTGCATCAAGTTGTCGAGGCTGACCGCTTGGTTCATGTGTGGATGCTTGAGAAAGGAATCCGGCCCCGGCGCAAGAGTGACGGATCCCGCGCCATGGATGACGCTCTCTTTGAAGCGCTCTCGTCGTATCGCGTTTCCTTCGTCTTGATCCCTCGTGGAAGCACGGCTGCTGGGAGTGGCGGCGGTCGAGGAAGGAAGCGCAAGAAGACCAAAGATGACAAGGGCAAGAAGGATGATAAAGCTGAGAAGATTCCCCCTGCGCCCAAGGACCCACCTGCTCGCCCCCCGAAAGGTCCAGGCAAAGGTGCTGCCAACCGTGCGGCTGTCCCCAAGGCCATTCTCGACAAGGGTGGCAAAGCCCAAACGCCCGATGGCAAAGCCATCTGCTACGGGTTCAGCCTTGGGGAGTGCCGGGTGGCCAACTGCCCCCGTGCCCATGTCTGCGCGCGTTGTTTCGGCAATCATAGCCTCATGCAGTGCCAGCGCAAAGAGTGACTATCGCCAGAAGCCGCTTCGACCAGTGTCACTTCGAATTCGTTTTCTGCTAGCCAGCCTGACGTGGCGAAGATGTCTGACCTTCCCCCGCAGGTGCTGACTCCTGCCCTTTGCACAGATGAGTCTCGCGATCTCCCCGCTTCAGGCCAACCTGTTCTGGAAGTTCGCGAACGGGCTAATCTTTCTCCTGCATACAGGCCCCTTGGTGAGCCCGTGCCTAGGCCCCCGGTTGCTCCCTCCTCAAGCACCTCTGTTGTTCCCACTAGCACTGCCGCGTCCGTCAGGTCACCTGGCTCTGCAAGTGACCTGCCACCCCAACCCGAGCCCTGTGAGGGTTCGCTGGGGTCCGATGTGGGGCTTGTTGCTGGGTTTTGGGGGCTTCCAAGTTCCCCAAGAGCGCCCGTTCTTTTGCGTCCCAATTGCCATCCAAAAGAACGGACGGTTTCTGACAAAAGAACGGCGGAAAAAGGGCCCGGAATGGACCCGGTGGACCCCCATACCGAGCCCCGCCCTGAAGCACCTGTACGTGAAGCGACTGTGCAGGCGCCAGTCCGCGCTGATGATGCATCCTGTTCTGCCCCCAGGCCTGCTGTGGCTCTTGACTTACGTGAACAGCCTTCGCCCTGCCAGTGGGTCGTGGACGTGGCTCGTGCGGAGCATCTTGCCCGTGCCTCTGTCAACAGCCCTTCGCTTGAAGCTGCCCGGCGCATTCTTTGCCTGCTTCCCTCTGAGGTCCCCGCACGGGGCCAAGCGCATAGTGCCTCTCACTCCTGGACCTGCGGCATGTGGACCTGGGGTGCCCGTGCGGGCGTTCGCGGCTTCGGGAAACCCGCTGTGACACGTTTCTTTTGTGCTCTACTTCGCCAGCACTTCCCTGGCCACGCATTCACGAATGCTGCTGTGTTCACAAACCTGCGCGCGGAACCGCACGTTGACTCCTGCAACGTGCCTGGTTTCCCCAACCTGCTTCTGCCAATCAGCCTTTTCCGGGACGGCGACGTCTGGCAAGAATCTCCAGTTGGCCGTGTTCCGCTGGCAGGGCACGATGCCCTGGGCATACGGCTCCGCGTCAGTTTGGGGCCCCAGACCTTAGACGCCAGCCGCCTGCATGCCACACTCCCTTGGAAAGGCGTTCGGTGTTTGCTTGTGGGATATTGCCTTCAGGGTTGGGAGCGGCTGTCCGAGAAGGAACGACAGGAGCTCCTTAGTTTGGGTTTCCTTAACCCCGGTTCCCTAGTCCAGCCTGCCCCTGTGCGGCCCCTCACGCCCCCCACCCCGCCTTTAATTTTGGAGTTATTCTCCGGGTCTGGTCGCGTCACTGCGGCCCTGCGTGCACTTGGTTTTGAGGCTGTTGCCATTGACAAGGTCAAGAGCGTTGGGTGTGCCGCCCCGCCCTGGGTGCTCGATGTCTCTACGCCAGACGGCCTTGCCCAGCTGCTCCAACTTGTGCAAAACCCGCGCGTCTTGGGGTTGTTCGCCGCTCCGGCTTGTGGCACGTGTTCTCTGGCCCGTGGCATTCCGTGCTGGGACAGCCAGGGCAATCCGGTGCCTGTGCCCCGGCCTCTGCGGTCAGACCGTCACCCGGACGGTATGCCCGACCTCCCCCCCGGTGATGCTCGCCGTGTGCGCCTTGCAAACGAAAGCTACCTGGCGCTTCGACAGGCCGTGCGCCTGGGTGTGCAGCGTGGCATCTTGATTGCTGTGGAGAATCCGCGGTCATCCTTGTTTTGGAAGACTTCCTTTTGGCGCGACGTGGCTCCTGCTTTTCGCTATGTGGATCACCAGGCGTGCGCCTATGGTGGCGACCGCCCCAAGTTCACCCGGATTGCCTACACGCACCCTTCTTTCGAGTCCTTGTGCAAGCTGTGTCCCGGCTGCCCTGCGCATGCGTCTTGGGGTGTCGACCCCGCGGCCCCCAACGGTTTCGCCACCAGTCGGGAGACCGCCTACCCTCGTCCCTTGGCTCATGCCATTGCGCAGTGCTTCGCGAGTGCCCTTCCCACTGTCGAGCCGCCGGGCCTCCAGCTTCCGGCGTTACGCAGCCTGGCTGGACTTCAACCAAAAGCTAGCAAGGTGCCAGCCTTGGTCCCGGAGTACAAGACCACTTGCGTGGTCCGGGGGCCTGCCGCCAGCCTGGTCCCGCCTTGCCAACCCATGCAACGCCTCGAGCAGGCTTGGCCGGTGCCTGCGGATTGTCAATGCAGCTTGAAGGTCATACCTCCCTATGCTCAGTTGCTGCGTCTCAGTCCGGTTAAAATGGGAAAGCAGGATGAGGAAACTCGTAGGCATGTTGAATTGGCGTGGGGCATTCCGTGGTCGCCAAGTGAATTCATTCAGTGTGCTTGCAAAGCTGTCCACCCTGTGGCCCAAGAAGCACAATTACCCAGCGAACTTCTTCAAGCCGTCGAAGTGAATTGCAATGCGACGACAGCGTCGGCCCTTGAAGGGAAGCGCACAGCTTGGTTTGAAAAATGGTTCAAACGGTGCTTGGAACTCAGGACAGACGAATGCAAACTCAAGGATGGCATGCATCCCGACGTCCGAGGCATCCTTGAACCTAAAAACCTTCTTGTCTGGCGCGAAATCTTAGATGACCTCAACTACCCTGACAAAACTGTCATCGAGGAGGTGATTTCAGGGACCGTGTTGACTGGTGAAGTTCCGAGTACTGGGCTATTCAACCCTGTTTTCAAACCCGCGGCAATGTCCGAGGACTTGTTGCGAGACACCGCCGATGAGGGCAGGCACAGTGTCTTCCGGAGTGTTAAGTCGCAGGGTGATTTGCTTGACCAAGAAGTAAAGAAGCAAACCCTTGAAGAACTACAGAAAGGTTGGTTAGAAGGGCCCTTTGATCCGTCTGAGCTGCCTAACGGCTCAGTAGTTTCTCGCCGGTTCGGGATCCAGCAAGGGTCAAAGGTACGTCTGATAGACGACCTCAGTGCATCGCACGTCAACTCGTGTGTCCAAACAAATGAGTCTCCAAAGCCCCATTCCACCGACGTTCTTGCTGCACTTGCCATTCAGCTCATGAGGTCCACCAATGAGCCACTCTTGGGTCGTACCCATGATTTGAAAGCAGCATATCGACAGCTGGCGGTGTCCCAGAGTTCCGCTTGGTGCTCGTACGTTTGCATCTGGGACCATGAGCGTGCCGCCCCCGTGTGCTTCAGGCTCAAAGCGTTGCCTTTCGGCGCGTGCAGAAGCGTTTATTCGTTTCTGCGCGTAGTGCATAGCATCTGGTTCATAGGGACTGTTGGGTTAAGCCTCCCTTGGGTTTGCTATTTCGATGACTTCATCACGATTTGTTCGGGCAGCCTCGCACACAGCACTGACGCTACCATCAAGCGCTTATTCAAGCTCCTGGGCTGGACACTGTCCAGTGACGGAAAGAAGGACTTGCCGTTCAGGAGGTCTTTCGAAGCTCTTGGCATCGTCGTCGATTTAGAGGAGAGCGCGAACAAAGTTGTGAAGTTTGCAAACACCCCATCCAGGGTGAGCGAACTCTGTGGGTCCATTGGCGACATACTCGACGCTGGTTCCCTCAAACAGCCTCTGGCCTTGAGGTTGAGGGGACGCATGCAGTTTGCTGACAGTCAATTGTTTGGAAGGTCCGCTAGGATGTGCCTTAGACAAGTCACCAAGCACGCCTATAGTGATGTGTCCGATACCTTGTGTGAGGATTGCGTTTTCGCTCTGGACAGGTTCAGGAAGATGCTTCTGGAGCACAAACCCAGAGTCTTGAACGGATCTTTGCGGGAAAAATTCGTCATCTTCACGGACGCCTGCTTCGACCCAGAGGCATCGGACTGGGCGTGTGGTATTGGTGGCCTGCTGTTCTCTGACAGAGGTAAACTCCTAGGTGCCTTTTCCGAGCAACTTGAGCGCTGGCAGATTGAAGCATTGACCGAGGGCTTTCGTAAGACGGTCATTTTTGAAGCTGAACTTTTGGCAGTTATCGTTTCGCAGCTTGTATGGGGACACGTCATCAGACATGCACCTGTGCTGTGGTTCGTTGATAACAATGCCTCCCGCGACATCGCGATTTCAGGCTGCACGAGGTCTGACAATGCACAAGCGCTTCTAAATGTCTTGCTGGAGAGCGAGGAGCAGTTCGATGTCAAAGCATGGTACGCCAGGGTTCCTTCTCCGTCTAACCCTGCTGACCATCCCTCTCGAACAAAGCTGGAGTCCTACGTTCATGGCAACACTTTGGTTGGTGCAGTTGACGTCCGTCAAACCCTTAAGGCTGTTTTCGAAAACTTCTTAAGGAAAAAGGTAAAAAGGTGAAAGTCGGATAATGTGGGGAGTCAGTGCTGGGTTCGTATTGCAACTTTGCATGAGGTGCCAAGTAGATCTACACAGGCTTTCCAAGGCAGAAGGTTTGTCCTTGCGTGGCATGAGGCCCGCATGTGCATGCTTGCCCACGCTTCCACGTGAAAAAAAGGAATGTCCGAGTGAGTGCGTTACTGTAAGCGTTGCGCTCTCTGAACCACACCAAGTGTAGGCTCATGTGTCTTTGTTCTTTGTTGGCTTAAAGGTAAGCTTGAGCGGAGCACGAAGCTTGCTGTCAACTTGTTGATAGCGCCTTCGTGAGGAGCGAACGCTTAGGTTGCCTGCAACCGTGCCTTTAAGAAAAACAAAAAGAGTTTTCACAGTGCTTTCAAAATTTTCTGCATGCCCATCTTTCATGTTCTCTCTGCATGTCACCTTGACAGCTTGTATGCAGTCTTCATGCCCGGTAACAGTGGCTGACAGCTGAGAGATGCAGAAAATTTTCTTTGCCCGCCCGCCCATCCCAGTGGGTGTGGCCGATCCGTGCCTGACGGATCCCGCCTGTGGATCTTCTTCTGCCTGCATGGCTTCCCTCATCCGGGGGAGTCAGTGCTGGGTTCGTATTGCAACTTTGCATGAGGTGCCAAGTAGATCTACACAGGCTTTCCAAGGCAGAAGGTTTGTCCTTGCGTGGCATGAGGCCCGCATGTGCATGCTTGCCCACGCTTCCACGTGAAAAAAAGGAATGTCCGAGTGAGTGCGTTACTGTAAGCGTTGCGCTCTCTGAACCACACCAAGTGTAGGCTCATGTGTCTTTGTTCTTTGTTGGCTTAAAGGTAAGCTTGAGCGGAGCACGAAAAATGGTTGCGTGATTCCAGCGATGATGCTCTGGAGGCATTAGATGAAGGACCGAAGGTCGACCGAAGACCTGAGGAGCTAATTGGAGAAGACCCATACGATGATGACGAGCAAATGAAGCCGAACAAGCGAACACGCTTTGGAGGAGAGGAGGTCCGAGCGTTTGATCCTGAGCAAGCAGGAGTCGGAGACCTAGAGATCCCGGAGATGACAGTGCCGGATGCTGACTGGAATGTGTCCGAGTACCAGCCGTCCGAGGCTGAGGATGACGATATGGGAGAAGCTCCAGAGATGGGAGACGCTCCAGAGCATCCCCAGACATTCCATGAGGGGGTCCCAGTCCGATACCTGGAGGAATTGCTCGAGAACGCCCACTACACACCACAACCACTCTCTTGTTGTGACCACTACGACGTCGAAGCGGCATGTCACCTACTGGTTGGTCGGTCGAGCGTGGAGAAGTTCCCGTATGTTTGCTTGAACACAACAACACAACGACAGCACCACAAGCAACAGCAGTCGGTCGAGCGTGAAGCAGTTGAGTTGTTGAATCTCCAGGACCACCCATGTGTATGTTCTTCAGTTAAAGAGAAAAAGGAAGATGAGTCCGCAGGGGCGTACATGAGAATCCAAGACAGGACTCTCTGGGTGAATCGACCTAGAGCCAGCTACGATGACCTGGAAGGTTTTCAGCTGGACCCTGAAGAGACATGGCAAGGAATCAAGAAAGAGGTGAATGCGCTCGATAGTCTGAAAGTTGGTTATGCAAGATCAAAGAGCGAGATAGATGAGTACCGCAAAGCCAACCCAAACTGTCGGACGGTCAAGTCCCGATGGGTCCTCACTCAGAAGGCCCCAGGACTAGTCCGAGCAAGGATAGTCGCTAAGGATTTTGCTCATGGCCGACCATCCGCACTCGATTTGGGGTTGAGTTCTAATACTGCGTCGGTGGAAGCCCTCAAGATCGTCCTTGCACGGGCGGCGAAGGGAAAGATGCGGGCTTACGGCCTCGACATATCCACCGCGTTTCTCTTTGCGCAGGTAGTGGAACCCACCATTATCGAGTTGCCAAGCACATTCGCGCTCGAGAGCGGCGAAACCGCGTACTTGATACTAGAGAAAGCGCTCTACGGTTTGCGTTCCGCCAGCCTTAGCTGGCAGCGACACCTGAACAGGATCGTATCTGCACTAGGCTTACAAGCGAGTCCGCTTGAACCGACGCTTTTCAGCGGATGGGTCAACCTTGAATCCGGATGGGAGTATATCATCATGTTAGCGTACGTGGATGATTTGCTCATTGTGTCCTCTACCGAAAAAGGGTTCGAGTACGTCCACGAAGCCCTGAGTTCAGTCTTGAAAGTCAAAGTGACAGGCAGGCTGATCGAAGATGGGCAGATGGAATTCCTCGGCCGTTTAATCCGTTGGGATGGACGACAAATCATGCTTGGGGTGAAGCCTGAGTATGTGAAGTCGGTCTTTACATCTTTCGGATGGGACATATCCACCGCGAAAGCATCCTTGACGACACCCGACATCAGGAGTATGTACGATGAGGAGAGTGTTGAAGAGCCTTCGAAGGAGCTGTCGAGTGAGGCCGCCTCACGATTCCGAAGTTGCCTAGGGAAGATAGGATGGCTCTGTCAAACTCGCTCAGATATAACGTATTTTCACTCCATGTTGTCACGCGGACAAAGCATGCCACGGCAAGTGCATGAAGATGCACTTCGCAAGTTCCTGCGATGGTTAGCAGCGTTTCCGCTGTTAGATCAAATCTTCCCGCTCGGAGATGGCAAGACCAATGAGGGGGAGAATGCCAGCCTGGTAGCCTATTGCGACAGCAATTGGGGCAGCGAGATGAGCGTAGCCCGGAAGAGCACCAGTGGCGGAGTGATCTACATCGCAGTGGACGGTCTGTGGTACTGCATAAAGGGGTACAGCCGCCTGCAGAGCGTCGTGGCACTCAGCTCAGCAGAGGCAGAGTTGTTTGCCATCGCCGAGGCAGCGAAAGAGGTGGCAGGACTTGCGCAATTGACGGCGCATATCTGGGGCACCCTCCAGAAACCCCACCGCGTGTACACTGACTCTGCCTCAGCTAGGCAAATTGCCAGCATGGAGGGGCTACTCAGGCGCATGCGGCATATAGACTTGAGGTTGTGCTTTATCCAAGACCGTGTCCATAGCGGCGAGTTGGCAGTAGAGGGAGTAGCCGGAACCGAGAATGTGAGCGATCTTCTCACAAAGAATTTAAATCGCCTCCAAACAGCAAAGCATACAGCAACCCTCGGACTAGAAGATGTGACCAGCATCGATTTCCGAGAGGTCCCGGCAGTCAGGTCTTGCTTGTTGCTGTCTGGAGTGCTAGATTCGATACTCGGGCCGGACAACCTCGAATATGAAGCTTTCTGTCGGCTATGCGAACTCGAGACTGAATATTCAACTTTGCTGATCGAGTTTTGCACGAGTTCACGTTCGAATCTGTACCTGCAAGGAAGTGTGCACCAAGTATTCGTCTTGCCGATTACTCAAGGGGTTGACGGGACCTCGAATGACACCGTGGAGCGGGTCATGTCTGCAATGAATGTTGCAAGAGAATGGGGGATGAAGGTTGTTTTCTGGAGCAGCACTCCTTGTACCGGAGGTAGCCCGTACCAACGGCGACACGAAGATCTGCCGGGCTATCAGGACCATCTACAAGCTTTGTTCACGGTGCATCGCAAACTCTGGCGGAGCTTCTTAGTGATGGTGAACCACCCGCAAGTGGGGGTATGGGTCATAGAATGGCCGCAGCGGTGTGCCTACTGGGGATGGGCAAGCACCCGTTCGTTTGCAAAGCAACGAACCCATTACACTGGCGAAGTGCACGGCTGTGTTTCAGGCTTGGTAGGCAGAGATGGATTACCTATCCGAAAGATTTGGAAACTGATGTCGAACGATGAACAGTTTGTGCGAACAATGTCCGAAACGTTTGCATGTACCTGCAAGGGAGATCATTCACGAAACTTTGATCTCAAAGAAACGCAGCATTATCCGCCAGCTTTCGCGGACGCCGCCCTGGAAAGCTTGCGACTGCGGTAATTCGCGCCCGCCCGCCCGCCCCTGGCTTGCCCGCCCACCCGCCCAGCCAGGTTGCTTTGCGAGAGTTAGTCGACCTCCAGCGGTCTGAAGCAGTGCAGCGGTCTAGGACTGAGGAATGCGCCGGAATCCATGGCCCGGCGAGAAGCTTAGTTGGCTTTGCGTGGAGCTTAGTTGACGTGACCAACAGTGAAACTCTTGGTCATGAGGGGGAGTTGATATATGTGACCCTCCTAGTTTCCCAGTTGACACGTGATGTGCACTTGAGTTGTCTGCTATGAGTGTGAAGCATAGGCACGAGGACATGTCAGGCAGTGCAGATTTCTTTTGGCTTGGTGAGACCTTGTTTTGAGTGGGAAGAACCGTTTTCTGTTCGTTTTCTCGAAACTCGTTTGTCGGAACTCGTTTCCTGTTTGTGACCTGGTATTTGGTGACCAGAAGTGACTCAAGCCAGTTTAGGTCTGCACAGAGCTCAGCAGAGCACCTAAGAGGTGCTAGGAACCTACCCACAGTGTTTAGGAGTAGAAGTTCCATGGCTGAGTGTTTTCACCTGAAGTACCTTTGTTTTCCCATGTCTGGCAGACAGTGTTTGAAGCTGGAGAGCCGTGCTCGCATTGGCTCAAGACGAGCGGAGCTCGAGAAGCTGTGAACAGCGCAGTGAAAAGAGTCCGCACTTCGTGCTGTGAGGGTTGAGTGTAGTCTTGACCTGAGGTCCCTTAGGCCCCCGTAGCTGTGCCACGAGTTTCAACGTCCAGAGTCTGCTTCCAACTTGGACTCCAAGTGCCAGCCTTTTCCTTTCATTTCTTAACATTTAATTTTTGGATGTTTGGATTCTGAATGGTGGAAGTCTCTTGGGCTAAAGGTCGTGCTCCGCACCTGTTTGTGATGATGCACCTGTTCGAAGGGAAGCGTTGCTCGGAAGAATGAGAGCCTTGCCAAAAGCGGGACTCACATCGCTGGAATTTGCACGGGAAGATACGCAGCATTCTTGGGGATGATGTCAGGTTTTGTTGATCTGGTGCAAGGCCCACCTTGCTCCACAGTATCTAGGGCCAGGCACGTCAGCAAGTTTAGAAGTTAGGCCTGTTCGTTTCCGTGACTGTTTCTGGGGCAGGTCTGATTTAAGGCCACATGAACTTTCAAGGGTTGAGAAGGTCAATGTGCTTTTTAAGCATAGTATGAGCCTGTGCGATCGCATTGCTCTTCACGGTGGTTGCTTCATTTGGAAGCATCCAAACAATTCTGGCTGCAGACCGTATCCCTTGATATTCGCCACGGCTAAGTTTAAGAAGCTGCTCGTGCGCACGGACTTCTTTCCGTGCAGGTGTGCCTTGTTTCACCGGATGCCATCATGTACCAGACCAGCATTTGTTCGCTTTGTTCTCACTGGGCCGTGTGCATTTGGGCTGGCTTTGTGCTTGGTGGTATCGAGAGTTCTCAGCTTTGGCATCTTTTGCTCAGATTTGCTTGGAGCTTCAAACTCAGAGCTGCATTTCCGGCAAAGTGAAAAGAGAGTCTGTCCTCGCTGTGCATTGGCTTTGGCTTTAGCATAGGTTGTACACCTTAGCACAAGGGCTCTGGTGGTGTGGTGCTGAGCCGAGCGAATCTTCGCAAGATCGCAAAAAGGGTGAAGATCTGGATTTGAGTGCTTGAAGACCTCGTAGGGTTGTGAGAAGCCCTGCAGCCATTTTAGAGTCGCCATGGCTTTCTGCACCGCCGTGGCCCGCCCGCGTTTTTCCTGATTTTGAGTCAGTGCATGAGAGTTTTCTTTCGCTGTGTGTGGGAACACGCGCTACGCTTTACACTTTGCAAGCGAGTTTTTGTCTGGTGGCACGCGGGATGCAAATCGAAGCGATGCTATGGAAGCCGTTTTTTCGTTGGAGCTCTGCCAGCAGTTCGCTGGTGAGCTTACGGTGTCTTTTGATCAGTGCGCGCTGGGGGGTCCCACTAGGAAACCAACTACTTTGGCTGGAAATGTGCAAAGATGGTTTTGCTTACTGTGCCTGTCCAGAAGAGACCCTGTGAACATTCTTTAGGGTTTAATAGTAAAGGTCACTTTCTCACAAGGCGGCTTTAGACTTACCCTCCAGGTATGTGCCGGCTTATGCGGAGTGCTTGATTGCAGGCTTCTTTGCGAGGGGCCCTCGAGCGCCTTTGGCTTCCTGGTCGGTAAGTGCCTCAGCCGACCGCCGAGAAGTCAAGATTTTGAACGAAGCCGTTGAGGATTATGTTCGCGTGCTGCTAGGAGATGATCAAATAGGCCTCTACCTGCACGTGGATGACGCGCTGCTCTTAGGTGTAGGAGAATGTGCCAGGTTGACGGGCCCGCTGATGGAAGAGATTGCTGACAACATGGAGGCTGCAGGTTTCCGAGTACCCGGTCGCAGATCGGGAGATGAGATTGCAAAAGTGGTAGGCTACGAGATTGATGCGCAGAAGGGTGAGTTTTCACTGCCTTGGAAGAAGGCTCGCTTGCTGCAGGCTGCTCTTCTTAAGTTGGCAAGTGCCCGGTTCGTGTGTGTCGATTTGCTCAAGGCTCTGGTCAGGATCTGGAGTTTCGGTGCACAGCTTAAAAGAGAGCTCTATTCCATCCCATTTTCGGTTTACCACATGATCGACATTTGTGAGGGCCAGTTCGTGAGACTGTGGCCATCGGTGAGGCGAGAGCTCGTTGCCATGTCCAGGGCAGTGGACTTTATGGTGTTGCCGGCATCGGACCCAGTCAGCAGAGTGGTGTTCGCGACGGATGCCATGGGGGCTGATGATGTCGACTGTGGGGGTTTTGGAATTTGCATGGCTCAGGCTACTTCGGAGGAGTTCGCAGCCCTGATGTGGGCCGGTGAAGCGCCGGGTTTTGCCATCTCCGAACAAGACCGAGGGTTGAGGGGCTTACGTAGTCCTGCAAACATGGTCAGGTTTACTCGCCCTTTTTCGAGGTTGCCTCGGACTTTGTTTGAAATGGACAGAGTTGCAAGCGGGCCGCTGGCAGACGGCCGACCACATCACCATAGGTGAAGCCAGGGCTGTCACAAAGTGCTTGGAACTGGTTTGTCAGTGGCCTTCTGCGAATGATCACGTTTTCTTTGCCTTGCAAGACAACCGTCTGTGCGCGAGTGCAATGACCAAAGGGAGGTCGTCTTCATGGGGTTTGAATTTTTACTTGAGGCGAAGGGCAGCGCTTGGCATCGCATGTGGACTGCGCTTCATTTTCTCATGGTGCCAGTCTGCGCTCATGCCGGCTGATCGGGCTTCAAGACGCCGGGGGGAGTAGCTGCTGCGACCAGGGCCCGGGGAAGGGCTCAGGGTATGCGCCACTTCCGGCCACAGAGGCTCGACCCGCTTCATGTGAACTCCGTCTTGACTGACACTTACGAGCGCCACCAAAGGGCGGTCGAGAAATTTGAGATTTTCCTGCTTCTGAACGACGCGGTTCCTTCTTCAGCTGCTGAGCTTGACGAGTGGCTCGTCCTTTTCCGCCGGGAGGCCTCCTTGACACGTTCTCAGTTCGAGGTCACCTTGGCGGGCATCCAGTTTGTGGCTCCGCGCTTAAAGGGAAAGTTGCCCCTTGCAAAGAAAGTGGTCAAAGGACTGACGATCGAGTACCCCGCCAAACATGCTTTCCCGATGTTGTCTCGCTCGGCTAGGTTCATTGCAAGTAAGATGGCAGCTGGAAGGGAGCATCGTTTGGGTGTGTGTATGCTATTGCAACAGGCGACAGGGCTTCGGCCTTCTGAAATGCTGGGTCTGCGCGAGCATGACATTATTAGACCCAGTGAGTTCGTGCCTCGCTATGTCCTTCGCCTTGGCACCAACGTGGGCACCAAGGTGGGGAGGGAACAGACCGCGTTCTTTGACCCCGAACAGGACCCGGTGCTCGCAATGCTTTTGTTTAGGCTGCTGCGCTCGACGCCCGAACAGGGGCAGCTGGCTGCTTGCGGTTATGATCATTATCGGAGGGTGCTCGCTCGTCACAGTGCTTGTTTGGGAGTGCTTTATTCCCCTCATTCCTGCAGGGCCGGCTTCGCAACAGAGGCCATCATCAAAGGCGAGGCGCCCACTCTCGTGCAGAGGCGCGGCCGGTGGGCTTCGGAAGCGAGTTTCCTTGTGTACATTGACGTGGCAACTGCTTTGCAAGTGGAGGCTGAGTTTCGCAGCCGTGCTTTGGATTCGGAGATTGACGCAGCCTCCCGGAACTTGTTGGCCTACTTTCCAAAGACCTGCTTCGCGGTGGCAGCCGATGGGACTCCCAGACACCGTGGCGATCGTCGACGCTTCGGAGGAAGAGGATTCGGAGTACAGGCCGAACTCGCCTGTGCCAACGGTGAGGCACCGGAGCGCGCGCACCATGACGCCGCCGCCCCGAGTGCTTCCGGCCCGCCGAGACGGTCGTCGGCCCAGACTCGACGGCGCCTCGGTTCTCACTCCCGAGGTGCGCGCTCAGCTACAGGGACGTGGTTTGGTGGCTGGTGCTGCCGACGGAGCCGGGCGCGATCCAGCTAGAAGGCCTACTCCACGACGCAAACCGGTGTCGTGGTTCTGCTGGGCGTGGCGTTCCTGCAGCAAGGGACTGGCGCGTCTTCGCATGTTGGTCCTTTGGGGAAGCTTGGCCTACGTCCTCGCGGCCGGGCCAATGCGAGAGCTTTTGCTACCAGTACAGAGTCTACTGGCGTCAACGGCGCAGGTTGGGGAGAGTGCGGCTGGGGCACTCTCGTCCATCCTGGATGGTGGGACTCAGCTGGTGTCAGCTTCTACAAGTGTGGTGCGAGCGGCTTCGGTTAACACTTTGAGCGTGGCGCAGGCTGCTTGGGTTGGTGTGGACCTTGTCGGCATGAACGCCACCCAGGTGGCCCAGGTGGTTGGGCGAGTGCTGGGCGAGACATCTGAAACCATCGAGCTTTGGCTTTTCTCTGCGCAGGGCCGTGAGGTGCTTCGGGATCCTTCACACGAAGCTCTTGTTTTTTGGCGAGGTCTCCTGCAGTCGCAAACCTTTCTCCTCCCGGTGGTCGCGGCCGAAACCGAAGCTTTAGTAGCTTCGGGTGACTACTGGGCGGCCTCGGCGGTTGTTTCCTTCGCCTCGAGCGGCCTCGTCGTCTTCGAGTTTCGGATGCTTCGCATGCATTTCTCGCCGCGCTGGGCTAACCCCGTGTGGCAGTTCGGTGGCTGGAGTGCGGAGGATGAGTATGACCAGATTCTCCGTATTGCTCGCGATTTTGCCTCCACGGTGCCGACTGCCAACCACACATGGGATCATGTTCTGGCCCCCCCGCCCTCCTCTGCTCGCTGGCCTGTTGTCGCCGGCTTCCTTCGCCGCTCGGACGCGTTGCTATGGGCCCCCTTTCGGGCTTGCTGGCGCTTCGGAGCTTCCATGTGGGAGTATGGGACCATGCATCCGCTGGCGTTCGCTGGCCTGTTGCTGGTGGCCACAGGCTACTGCATATGGGCGTGGCGCTTCAAGACCTTGGCGAGTCTACCAACCGGTGGGCATGTCAAATGGGCCAGTTTGGTGGAGCTCATGTTGCTTATGCGAGGCTGGTTCTTGGTGGGAGCTGGCGCTCTAGCACAGCAACTTCGCTATTGAGTCCAGAGGGGGTGTGGGTTTTCACCTTGAGCAGCTCGACGCAGTCAGCACAGGCTTCTCTTAGGAGCGAACCGGACTGCTTTGAAGAGCTGCTACCGCCATCATGTCTGAGATGACTTCGATGCCAAATGTGCCAGGCGGAAACGCCTAACTGGATTTACTATGCTGGCTCCTAGCAAAACAGCGTATTGCATGGTCGCTCGAGTGGGGCGCTCTGCACTGCACTTTGCAAGCACGCGTCATGGGCTGGGAACTCGCTGTGTCGTTTTCATGCTTTTTGCGGACATATGAGCATTATTGTTGAGTGAGCTGAGCGCACGGAGTTTAATGTACAGTCCACAAATGTTAGCATGAATTTTCTTTTGCAGCTTGGAGGAGTTTTGTCGTAGACAGGGAGGGCTTACAGTGCTTTGTGCTTGCTTGTTTTGTCCGTGAAGTGCGGCGGCCAAGTTTTCTCTCGAGGCCCGCCCGCCCTCCCTGGGTTTTCACCTTGAGCAGCTCGATGCAGTCAGCACAGGCTTCTCTTAGGAGCGAACCGGACTGCTTTGAAGAGCTGCTACCGCCATCATGTCTGAGATGACTTCGATGGCCTATCATATGCCAAATGCCTAACTGGATTTACTATGCTGGCTCCTAGCAAAACAGCGTATTGCATGGTCGCTCGAGTGGGGCGCTCTGCACTGAATTTTGCAAGCACGCGTCATGGGCTGGGAACTCGCTGTGTCGTTTTCATGCTTTTTGCGGACATATGAGCATTACTGACAGTGCAAAGGCATACAAAAGTTGGAGGCTGAAGAGCTTGTACAATGGAGCTTTGCGCGGCCCTTCTTTTGCTCACTTGAAGCTGGCGCACAGCAATGTTAAGCCGCCCCATCCAGAGTTCACTCGCAGGTTCAAGCTCAAGATCTTTGACGGTCGACAGTGGGTGGAAGAATCAGGGTTGGAGGCACCCAAAAGTTGATGGCTTCTTTGCTTCCTTCCGAATGGAGGTAGGCAAGCGCCCTGTCAACACCACTGGGCCTTCTTCTGAGACGGCTGATGCCATGGAGACAGCTTCATGAGCGAGTGCGTTTTTTTTTTTTTTTTTTTCAGTTTTGCATTGGTTTTCGTTTACAGATGCTTTTCAAGTCTTTGCGAAAATGCGCAAGCTTGAGCATGCTTCTGTTGGTTCGGTAACGTGGGCAAGCTTGGACAGTTTTGGAAAGGGAAAGGCAAAGCCTTCCACTGCTTCTACTAGTGCGCTTGCTGAAGCGAAATCTGTAGAGGAGGTTCCTTCTGTTCTGGTGCCTTCTGCGTGTGAAGAATCGCCTCAGCCGCTTTCGCCTGTGTTTTCGGAAGGCGAGGATGTTCAGAGTGAGCTCTTCGAGACCGAAAAAAAGAGGAGTCTATGTGTTGAACTAGCAGAAAGCAGAAGCTGTTCGAAGTTGGCGTGCAAAAAGAGCCTCCGTTTTTGGAGTCGATTCCTGCGACTGGTTAGGCTGTGGGTTGAATCTGACCAGTCAGGTCGGTTCAGAGCAAGGCTTCGATTTTGAAGTGGGGCTAGGCCACGGGACAGCTTCTTTGAGGATGTAACACATCGAGCGGCGTGGCCTGCAATTGCTGCGAGGCTCTTTTAAAGAAGTCGCGGCGCTTGGAGCGGCGTATTGGTGGCAGCATTTCCACTCGCGGAAGAAACAGGTTTACCAGGCAGACTGTGGGTGCCGGTTTGCTAGTGAAGACGTGACACCTCGAGCGGCGGACCGCCAGTTGCTGCGAGGCCCCTTAAAAGAGGTCGCGGCGCCTCGAGCGGCGCGGCTGACGCCGCACCCGGCTTCTTTTTTTCTTTGGACCTATGACCACATCGTGACGGTGCACCAGTCCTTGTTCGGGCAGCGGCAGCGCCTGCAGCCACGCCAAGTTGTTCCTGGCGCCACAAACCTGGCAAGGAGTCGCAGGAAAGTCTCTGAGGAGGGGGCGCAGTACGCCTTTGGCAAAATTGATGGCTTCCAGCAATGCTGCTGGTTTGGAAGGGGGGCACTGCTCCCCAAGAGTCGACAGGTAACACACAGGATAGGGGGGGATTATGCCCACACATTAAAACTCAGCATTTTTTTCACGCTTTGTGGTCAAAATTCGACGTTCCGAGATTTTCAGAAAGCCAAAATCACGCTCTTCAGGCTTGTTTCGCCGCGTTTTGCAAAGTGGACTTGTCCAGCGGAGTGTGTTTCAGGTAGTGTGCCTTTTTGATTTTGGGTGCATTTATTCCAAAATCTCTTGTTCTGTATTGGGTTTGCTTGAACTTGACGTAGCGGCCCGCGCATGTTCAAGCTTGCTGGCAGCATTGAAAATTTTTGTTGGGTCATGGGAGCTTTGACAGCGGATCAGAAGAGGCATCTTGCAACCTTGAGCACCGATCTGCGTTTCCAGCTGGCCCAGGCTGAGGTCACGCCTGTTAATCAGGCACGTTTGGGTGAGCTTGGCATCCGAACTTTGGTTCTATTTGCAGGTCTGGATGAATCTCGCGAGCGAGTCCGCGCGGCGCTCGCAAGTGAGCTCCCTCTTGACGTGCAAGCTTCTCTGGCCAACCGTCTCGAAATGGCACGTCTGATTTCAGCCTGGGAGGCCTCGAAATTGCATCTCGAGGTGAATGAGAAGAACAGAGCCGAGTCACGTCTTGGAACTCAAAATCGATTGGTTCAGCCGAGTGAACAACATTCCATGCGCGTGGCGGTGGAGGCTGTCCTGGGTTCTTTGAAAGACAAGGAAGTTCCTTCGCGATCGTTCTTGGCGACCAAGCTTGAACAGATCGAGGCCAATCAACCGGCGGTGGAGTGTCTCACTGAGGTGGCCTCGTTGGAGGATTCCGAGCTTGAAATGTATTCAGCGGTGATCGACCCTGCTACAAACGTCTTGAAGATCAAAACTGGCAAGACGTTGACTTCAACCCCGCAGTCCCCCGAGGAGTTGCGTCTTCGTCACCGCAGGATCGGTCTCGCCTGGGACATGCTCGCGACTAAACATTCCAATCGCAATTGGCTTTCAAAGAACATGACTGACACTTTCAGGCGCTTCAGCGATTATGTTCTGGGCCAGCAGGTCGCCGGCCTTATGGCAGGTGATGGTCGACGCCCTACTTGGAACTTGGTTTTGCAGTTTGAGCATGAAGCCCGCAAGGCCGCCTACAAGTGGTTGCGGGACGGCGAAGTCACGGACCTGGAGGCGGCTTTCAAGAGGGCTACTACGGATACGGAAGTCTTGCAGCGTTACTTGGTGATTCCCTTCTCCTTGAATATCACGGCTGCCTCGGTTGTGCAAGTGGACGTTCCTCCTCCTTCGGCTGCTGGTTCGCCTCCTCGTGCACGGGGGCGAGGCCGAGGGCGTGGCCGTAGTGGGGTCAGGACCAAGGGCAAAGCTCTTCGCACTCCGGATGGCCAGCCTCTTTGCTGGCGGTACAATCGCCAGGGTGGGTGCAATGATGCTAATTGTCGCTTTGTCCATGCCTGCCAGAGGTGCTTTGGAAAACACGGGTATTATCAATGCAGTCAGGTCAAGCGCGATACCGTTTCCCGCTGACTTTCGGCCGACACTTCGGCCAACGCACGAGGGCGTGCTGATCTCAGTGTGCTCTACCTCTTTGCTGGTGAACCACGCAAAGGGGATATTCGCAGCTGGTTGGAAAAAGAATCGTCCGGCCGCAGTTTCCATTTAGTGGAAATTGATGTTGCTCGCAATACGTCACACAATGTCTTGCGCGACGAGTTCTGGGAGGACATTCTTGAACAGGTCCGCTCCGAACAGTTTGACTTGATTCTTTTGAGCCCGCCCTGCAACACCTACAGCAGGGCTTCTTTTTCGTCACCAGGGTCCGTACCTCTGCGCAATGCAGACTGGCCGGAAGGCTTTCCGTGGCTCACTGGCCGCCTGAAGGACAAGGCTCAGGCGGGAACGGAGTTGCTGCGGCGCGCCCTCGACTTGGCTGCCGTGGCTTCAGAAGTTGGGGTTCCTTGGTTGCTTGAGCATCCAGAATTTCTCGGTACCACACCCCGAGGCACGCCTGCCTCGGTCTGGACTTGGGCTTATTCGCGAAAGTTCTTCGAACAGAATGCTGTCGCGACTGTCGTTTTTCATCAATGCGCCTTTGGGGCCCCTTATGCCAAGCCTACAAGGCTTGCAGGCACCTGGCCGAACCTGGGCACCCTGGGTTTTCGAGGGTGGCCTCAATTAGATCGCAATGGTTGCTACCGGGGCCCTTTGCCCAAATCTTGCGGTCATGATCACCCCCCTTTGCTTGGCTTTCTTGAGGACGGCACTTTTGCGACTGCACCTACAGCTGCTTATCCTTCCGGCCTGTGCCGGGCTCTGGCGTTGCTGGCTTGGCAAGTGGTTGATCCTTCCAGGTCCTCGGTGGGGGGGTCTTCTCTTCGGTCCCTGGATACCACGGAGAATGCTAACGCTGGCGCTTTCTTGTCTGATGTTGAAAAAGCAGCTGCTTCACTGTTGATTCCCACCAGGGGAGAGATCGTACAACTCTTCGAGCTCCTTCCGGGAGATCCCCCGGCGAGGGGCGAGCCTGGCCCTGACTCGAAGTCCTTCACGGTGGGGGCTTTTTCAAGAGGAGGGGGTCTGGCTGGCATTCGCTCCAACACTGACAAATTTCCGGAGTTCACCAAGATGCTTTGTCGTTTCATCGATGCACTGCAGCCGGGCTTCGAATACACTGCAGCGGCCATCTTTCGCAATCTTCGGACGGCTCCACACAAGGACACCGGCAACTTGGAGGGCTCTTATAATCTTGTGATTGGCCTTTCGTGTTTTTCTGGTGGCGAGGTGTGGGTTGCTTCGGGGTCGGGTTCGGTTGCTTGTCCTTTCGAGGGTTTTTCTGTGACGGGGGATCTGCTTGAAGTTGCCTCCTCTTTCTCGATTTTCAACCCCAGAGATCTGCACTGCACAGCGAAGTGGAAGGGGACGAGGGTCGTCCTTGTGGCATACACGCCATTTCTTGGCGAGGCACTGACAGAGGATCACCGTCGGCGCTTGGCTGCTTTGGGGTTTACGCTTCCGGGATTTGTTGGGACTGACATTGCACCGCTACGAAACTTGGGCACGAACGATGATGCTGTGGGTACCGCTGAGTGGTGGCGGTCTTTGCCGGGCGAAGAAGCTGAACACCTTGAGGTGCAAGGAGGCGACGTGGGGGATGACACTTGTGACGACCCTACGTCTGATGAGGACGAAGATGGTGTGAGAAAGCCGCTCTATGGGCATGGCTGTCTGGGTCAGGGGCCTCCACTGCGGTCTCGACTTTCGGGCCGAGTGCGTTGGTTCTCAGATGGACACGGACTGGCTTCACCAGGGCGCTGGCCTCCCCCGAAGAGGCCCACTCCTGCGTCACATGGCTGTCTTTCGCTTCACAAAGAAATCATGGACGGTCTCCTGGCTTTACTGTCGCGTTCGCTGGACATTAAGAAGGTCGTCTGCGCTTTGGCCACGGGGAGGATGACATCTTCCCCCTTTGCATCGGGACTGATCGATTCTGGGAGGACGCTGGTTTTTGATAAGCTTCGGCAGGCAGGGGTCACCGCACAGATCTCTGTGGTTCCTGACCGTCAGCCATTTTTCCTTGGTGCCATTGGCGAACTGCTGCGACTCGCTGGCGACCCAGACTGGAGGCGGTATACCGAGGCGACGTGGTCTTTCGCTGCTGGGGTTCCTCTTGGGGTCGGAGTCCGGCTTCCCCGGACTCCGGCTCTGTTTGAACGCAAGCATAAACATCGTGCTTTTCCGGGGGTCGATGAGCCGCTGCCCGACTTGCCGAGGGAGAATTACCCCTCTGCGCAGGAGCATGCTGAACGGGTTGATTTTCAGTTTCAGAAGGAGATCTCTTGTGGTGCAATGGTCGAGATGGACTTGGCCGAGGCGCAGGAAGAATTCGGCGAGGCCCTGAGTATTGCTTCGCTTGGTGCGCTTCTCAAGCCGGATGATTCTGTTCGAGTCTTGCACGACGGAACGCATGGTGTGCACTTAAACGACTCGATCAAAGTACGGGATGCACAATCGTATCCTACTGGGGGCGATCTCTCGGTGGCACTTGAAGAACTGCCGGCCGCATACTTTTCTCTTTCAGGAGATATCTCTCGTGCACATCGTTTAGTAAAGGTGAGGCGGGCCGATTGGGCCAGGCAGGCCTGTCGGGCATCACGTCATGACAAAGTTTACCTCAACGCTGTTGGAACCTTCGGCGTTTCATCTGCGAGCTACTGGTGGTATCGCTTGTTTTCTGGGTTGGGACGTTTGCTGTACTACTGCCATGGGGTTGATGAAACGACGCTCCTATCTTACGTGGACGACTTACTGTGGATTACCCAGTCTTCGGATGGCTTGGCGCGCATCCTGGCATCGATCCTTTTACTTGAGATTCTCGGCGTGCCTTGGGCTTGGCATAAGTTCAAAGGGGGAACGGAGCATTGCTGGATTGGATTTTCGATCTTTGCGCACAAGAGACTTCTGGGCTTTTCTCAGGCCCGGTGTGACTGGGCAGTGAATTGGATACAACGTGTCAGGGCTGACGGCTTCGTTAAGATTGCGGACTTGGAGGCGGTCATAGGACGCCTTTCGTTTGGCTTCACTGTTTTACCACTATTGCGCCCTTTTCTGGGGCCGCTCTATGCGTGGGTGAGTGCAGTGAGGCATTGCCATACTTTGCGGCTCCCGAAAGCTGTAGCTATGATTTTGGCGTTCATCGAGAAGGTGCTTCTTCAAGGGTTCCGTACAATCACTGTGCCTCGGGCCAAATCTGTCCCTCAGGAACTCTTTCGCACTGATGCAAAGGCAGAGGGCTCGGAGATGTGGTTGGGAGGTTGGGCCTGCAGTGATGCTTCAACGCCTTGGGGGTGCAGGTGGTTTGCTGAGAAAGTCCAGCATACTGACGCTCCTTGGTTTTATCAGGCTGGCCAGTCATACCGCTCCATCGCTGCACTAGAGCTTTTGTCGACGTTGGTTGCTGTCCACTTGTTTGCACCTTTGCAACCGACGAGCGCGACTTTTACCTGTTCCGCCGCGACAGACAATCGCGGCAACAGTTTCTTGACATCACGGTGGCTCACTACTTCCTTTCCTTTATGCGTGGTGCTCATGGATTTGGCGGCAGTTCTTCAGTCCAAGTCGCTCATGCTGGATTTGCACTGGGCCCCTAGATTTCAGAACACTTTGGCAGACTCTCTTACGAATCAAGACTTTAAAGACTTCGACCCGTCCAAAAGGGTTCGCTTCGATGTATCTCAATACCGTGGTTTGGTGCTGCGTGAACTTCTAGAGTCTGGCGCCGAACTTTACACTGAGCTTGCATCTTGGAAGAAGCGAAAGGGTGGCATTTTGCCACAGAAGAAATCGAAGGCAGAGAAGCTGGCTGCAACCGACCCGTGGAGATGATGTGCGTTGCTGCTCGTCATTCTTGCGAAAGGGGGGGCGTGTTCAGGTTGCGAGCTGCAACTTGTTTGTATGTGGCGGTATGTCACGTACAGCTGCTCCCTTCTCACACAACTGCACGTTTTGTGATTCGCAGCAAAAGTGGTCAGTGCGTTTGCAGCTTCTTGACACGTTCTGCATTGACAGGCATGTTCATGTCACATTCTCTCGGGGGCTGTTCTCGAATTGTTCTAGTCCTCTTGAGTTTGCGTTGTCTTCATTCTTGGTGGTGCATTAAGCAAAACCGCCACCCTATTTCATGTAAAACTCATTGCCTTGAGTTTTTCCCTTTGGGCTTCACTTTCCAGAAACACGCAAAGTGGACTTGTCCAGCGGAGTGTGTTTCAGGTAGTGTGCCTTTTTGATTTTGGGTGCATTTATTCCAAAATCTCTTGTTCTGTATTGGGTTTGCTTGAACTTGACGTAGCGGCCCGCGCATGTTCAAGCTTGCTGGCAGCATTGAAAATTTTTGTTGCCCACCCACCCATCCCTGGGGCGTGTTCAGGTTGCGAGCTGCAACTTGTTTGTATGTGGCGGTATGTCACGTACAGCTGCTCCCTTCTCACACAACTGCACGTTTTGTGATTCGCAGCAAAAGTGGTCAGTGCGTTTGCAGCTTCTTGACACGTTCTGCATTGACAGGCATGTTCATGTCACATTCTCTCGGGGGCTGTTCTCGAATTGTTCTAGTCCTCTTGAGTTTGCGTTGTCTTCATTCTTGGTGGTGCATTAAGCAAAACCGCCACCCTATTTCATGTAAAAACTCATTGCCTTGAGTTTTTCCCTTTGGGCTTCACTTTCCAGAAACACGAGACCAAAAACAGCCTTTTCGATGTTCCGAGATTTCCAGAAGGCCAAGCCGTGTTCTTCAGGCTTGTTTCGCGGAGTTTTGAGATCAGAGATGTTTAGCCAAACCGCGGTTTTCAGGCTTGTTTCGCAGCGTTTTGTACCACAAAAAGCGGTTTTCACCACTTGAAACAATTCAAAAATGATTCAATATTGATTCAATAATGATTCAGTACTGATTTCGATATTGACTCAATAATGACTCAATAGTGTCGCAATAATGCTGCAATGTTGACTAAAGACTCAGAAAAGACTCCACAAAGACTGCAATCTTCACCATGAAAGCTTCCGCAAAGACTGAATGTCTATCCGAGTCTCTACCCAAATCCTCCGCCCTCAAAAGCAGAAACAAGTTAAAGCTTGGCAGCCGCGAGGCAAGCCCTAATCAAGCGAATCTACGAGGATCCGCGCAGCGGTTTTGGCAGCATCGCAGACACGCTCAGGCAGGCCCGTCAGCAAGATCCTGCGATCACTCGGCGATGTGGTTCAGTTCATGGAGACCGTCAAAACCCGGGAGGACAGACCCCAAAGGAGGTTGCAACTCCTTCGTTCCAACCGAACCCATGCACCAGCTTCAAGCGGACCTAGCAAACATGTCAGTCTTTTCTGCGAAACCGTACCGCTACATGCTCGTGGCCATCGACGTCTTCACAAAGAAAGTCGCTGCCATGCGTCTGGCTTCCAAAACGGCGCCAGTTGCGGCCGCGGCGTGGAATCAAGTCGTCAAAGCACTCGGCGTTCCCTCCTACGTCTACTCGGACGACGGTTCAGAATTCAAAAGCGAGTGGCACGCAGGCAAGCTAGTCGCTCGAGACCTACGCAAAGCAATAGCGGTGGGACGCTACGCGCTGGATTCGAGAGAAGCCAGAAACGCATTGGCTCGGAGAGAAGTGCGCTTGGCGCTTGGCCCGGTAGCGCCGCCTTGATGCCAACTTGCGGTCTCAAACACAGATGTGCTGAAAAATTGCTCAAAATTGGTTGTTTGCGAGCAGTGGGACTCCGTGAGGCAACCTTTTCCGACCCTACCTATGTACAGAATGTGCGAAGGTGCTAGCCGCAGCGGCTGTTCAAGCGGTGCGAAGACGCCTTTCACAATTTAGCAGGTCGCGCAGCTGTGCAGGACGTCACGAAGCCTGTAGTGCTTCGGTTTCGCTAGCTGGTTTTTCAGCGGACGACGTCTGGCCGACTCAACAGGAAGATCATTATCCTCTGAAAAGCGAGGCTTTCGATACCCAGGTTCGGATGCTCGGCCAGTTTGGCAAGCATCTCAGCTCATGGTTCCGCCCGTGGCCCAAAGGCCGATTCTCAACGGCGGACACCTGGAAGACCTTGTCGTTCAGCGGGCTTAGCGCCTTCTTGCTGAGCTGGGCCACGGCCAAGATGAACTGCCGGCTCTGCAGCACCGAAAACGACGCTGCCTGTTCAAGGCCGGTCACTATCGTCTCGCGGTCGGCTTCGTGCTTAGGCCGCGCTCGCTTCACGATGCCCTTGGGTTTCTGCTCGTCAGCGTCGTCGTTGAAGCGGGTGCTGTAGAGCTTGGCCCGCAGGTTGATCTACTCCCAGACCCGCCGCGGCAGATGCACGCCGAAGCCGCCCAGCTCGCCCAGCTCGCCAGCTTCGAGGCCGTCAAGTGGCTCAGCGCCGTCTCGACGGCGCCCGATTTGGTCCTTGGCGAGGTCGAAAAAGCAAAGGCCACCGACCAGGCTCGTCCTCGTTCGCCAGCGCCAGCTCGAGCAGCGGATCCCTGTCGGCCTGTTGGCTTTGATGAAGTAGTGGGCGGAGTCCGTGTCCGTCAGCGTTACCACTGCATCGGGGATGAGATGCTTCATTCCCAAGTATTGGTTCATGAGCATTTGGAGCCTGCTGAGCTCCAGTACTCGTCACCCAGCCCCCGCACCAGGGACTACCATTTTGTCCACGCTGTGCCACAACGCCCAGAAGTCGATCTCCTCGAGCTGCTGCTCGACCCAGGCCAAGCGCTCAGCACGGTCCTCCGGGAGGTTTAGCTTCTCTCCAGAGCTCGCCGGCAGTGGCATCGTCATGATGTCGGGATACATGGAGGAGATGTCCATCTGCAGCAAGTAGCTCCGGTCCTCGTCTTCGTTCCGCCCGGCCCCAGCTCCGGCGAGTTGGCCTTCGCGTAGGTCTGGAGGGCGCAAGAGAGTCCGCCCATGATGGAGCTTCGGAGTCCGTGATGAGCCGAGCCGGCTTTTGAGTCAGGCAGGACTTGAGCATGGCGTCGTAGGCGGCGCTGGGCAAGGTGACGTACTGCAGCGGATCCAAGGAGAACTTCGAAAAGAATGCCGTCCTGAAGGCCTCCCTTATGTCCGCGAGGCACAGGTCCAGTCGTGCAATTGCTGGAACGTGCTCCAGCCCATGATCGCCGCGGTCTCCCTCAGAAGGGCGATCTCCTCGGTTTTAATGGTTTTGAGCTCGGACGCGTAGGTTTCATCAGCCCAAACCGCCGGGATCGACCACATGTCGGTCGATTGCCTGCTTCTGAAGGGCATCGGAAGCTTGCGTAGGAGAAGTGCCCACGTCCGCACCAGGGCTGAGATGGCCTCCGGGTGGCTTTAGACGACGAGCGGGCAGAACTCCGCCGAGAGGCCCGGCTTGTACCTGACCAGGTGCTGGTGTTTCGCGACGTCCGGCATGCGCAAAACCGATGCGCAAAAACGATGTCGAAGCTGCAAGGTTCCGCCGGCCGGAAACCGCAGCGGCACCGGTGACAGACGTGGCGGACTCGGGACCTGGTGCCGTCCAAGGCGCGACCCTGGTTGCTGAAGAAGGCCGATATGTTGTTGATGAGGATGTGGTGCGCGTCCAAGCGAAGCAGATGGACCCCATCGCGCACCAAATGGCGCTCGAAGATGCTCGAAGTAGCTCTTGCCGGCGACCTCGTGGCGACACCAGTCCCACACATGGACGTGGATGAGGCCGGCGTTGGCCCTCTCAAACTCCGTGATGTCGGTCCAACACACGCCCCTCTGGCTCGGATCCGGCAGCAGGACCAGTTCAGACCGAAGTCCTCCAGCTCACGCTTCGCCTGCTTGCTGTACGGGCTTCGAGTGCACGCGGTAGACGACGTCGTCCGTGAGCCTGCTGGAGCTCTCGGGCCTACGACCCGGCAGCTTGTGAACCTCCGCCAAGTGGGCCTGACGCACCAGGAAAAGCAGGAGAAGTCCTCAGTGCGCGGGTTCCAGAAGCACTTCTTCGCCACAAGCTCCTCGGGCAAGGGGTGGGGATGCGGAACTTTTGACGGGCGTGGGAGGAAGCTGCACCATCTGCATGCCCGGACTCTCTAGCACGTAGATGTGCTTGATGCTGCCAATCTGCTCTCTGGACCCGCGCAGCCTCGCGGATTCCAGATGCTCCTCGAGCTCCAACCGGGCCGTTTCCACGATGTCCCGCAAACGACGGTCTGGATCGCTGTTGGGCGTCACGAGCCACGACGAGGGCTGCAGCAGACAGTGATCCTCAATCCGCTTGGCTCCGACGCCTGGCTCAGTGGCTCCCTAACCAGGCAGGAAGACCTCCATGTCGAACTTGACCTTGGTCAAGAAGCCCAGCTGCATGCGCAAGTGAGCATCGAGGTGCGTTCTCAAAGCGTAGAGCGAAGTCACAGTTAGCAGCTGCTCAGGCGGCTGATCCAGGGCGTACTGCCGGAGCCACCGGGACTCGGCTCTGTTATCCCAGGCGGGCCCTGGCGGCTCCCGCGCCCTCACCGTGCTCCCCACCGCCCCGGAATTCCGCATGCCCTCCGACTGCATGCGCTTCCTATTGCGCCTCTGGAGCGAGCAGCTGCCAGAGTTTGCCGTGAAGGCGGGGCACGGGTAGCCACCAATGTCTTCCTGCGCGACATGAATGTCGACGTGCCGCTCGCGGACTCTCGCCGCATAAAGGTGCTGGCGAACGGACTGCCGTTATGGCAGGGAGCCCAGGCAGCGGTCAGCCCCGTTGGCCGGTACGGTGCCGCGCGGGCGGGCGCGGACCGTGTGCCGGGCAAAGCGGCAGCGGACGCAGCACGCCGGAAACGCCAAGCCACGTACCCGGAGCTGTTGGCCGCCCGTAGGTATCGCCTGGTCGTGCTCGCGGTCGAGGTGGGCGGGCGCTTTGGTGCCGAAATGGCGGATTTCCTCCGCCGCGTGGCCGCCTCCAAAGCGCGGACTGCGCCGCCGTGGCACCGGGCCGCGGCTCGGCAGGCGGCAGGCCACCGCTGGACAGGTATGTTGGCTGTCGCAGCGCAGCGGGCTCTCGCCCTGTCACTCCTGGAGCTGCCGCTGGACAGGGCAGATGAGTGTGACGGGGTGGAGCCGCCACTGGCTGACCTGTTGGCGGACGCTCGCCACGTGTACCCACATGGCCGCGAGCCACAGGTCGCTAGACTGGACTATGCGGGAAGGCCTTCCGAGTTCGCGACTCTGTCCCAGGATGCTTTAAACCCTTGGTACCCCCATACATCTAAACCGTTTAAAGTTGTGGCTGAGAGCAACTTTCGCGCCATGGTTTGGAACCGCATTGCGCTTTCAGTCTCGCTTGTCAGTCTGCTGCTTGTCGTGCCTGCCGCTGGCCAGTGCGACGAAGGCCCCTGGCAAAGCCTCCAGCCATAATTTGATTGTCAAGTAAACTTC